CCTCCATCACTCATCCATCCATCCATCCATCCCCCCTTCATCACTCATCCATCCACCCATCCATCCATCCATCATCCCCCTCCATCACTCATCCATCCATCCATCCATCCATCCCCCTTCATCACTCATCCATCCACCCATCCATCCATCATCTCCCTCCATCATTCATCCATCCATCCATCCATCCATCCACCCATCCATCCATCATCCCCCTCCATCACTCATCCATCCATCCATCCACCCATCCATCCCCCCTCCATCACTCATCCATCCATCCACCCATCCATCCCCCCTTCATCACTCATCCATCCACCCATCCATCCATCATCTCCCTCCATCATCCATCCATCCATCCATCCATCCATCCACCCACCCATCCATCAGTCATTCATCCATCCCTGCATTCACCCATTCATTAGGCATTTTCAGTGCCCAGCAGATCTGGCTGCCTTGGGCATGTGGATGGATGTGGATGAGCCCCTGCACTTGCCCTGACACTGCAGTCTTGAGGTCGTCACCCAGGGTGACTATAGAGTGCTAGTTAGGGCACAGGAAGAGGGTCATGGGAGCAGGGACAAGGCCAGTGGGTGAGTATCCAGGACCCAGCCCCAGCTGAGCATCCCAACCCCCAGGTGCTGTTGGCAACATGACGATCATTAGCAAGGCCTGCAGCTCACACTGTGTGGAGCAGAGTTACTCCATGGGCAAGAAGAACATCACATGTTGCTCCACTGACCTGTGCAACGCCAACGGGGCCCACGCCCTGCAGCCAGCTGCTGTCACCCTTGCACTGCTCACCGCTTCCGGTGGCCTGCTGCTCTGGGGCCCCAGCAGGCTGTAGGATCCGGGAGGACCCCACTGTGCCCCACACGGGCTGTCAGTGCCCAGGGGCCCCGGAGCACTCTTCGCACACACCTGACCCAGTTAAGGCCCCTCCTAGACCCTAACTCAGGTGGCCCATGCCCCTCTGCCCTTTCCAGCCTTCCATGGCTCCCTCCAGAAGCCCTGCCCAGCTCCTACTGCTCAGCAGGCTGGGTTCTATTGATGCGGCACTGTTCCAAGTCAATAGAACCCAGCCTGCATGCAGTCCATCCAACCCCCATGTTGCAGCCTACTCCTTAACCCTTGCTCGGGCATCTCTTCCTCCAGGAAGCCTTCCCTGCCCCACCCCCTCCATCAGCTGAGCCATGTTCCACCCACGGTGTCCCCTGCAACCAGCAAGGAGCAGGCACTCAGGAGGGCCCCACAAAGGCTGAGTAGAATTAGGGGCAGGGAGTGTGAGGTCCCACGGGCCCAGAGATGAGGTGTGGAGAGGAGTCCAGATCCCCATGGCCATGGGAGTCCTGGGGCAGGAATCCCAGCACTCAGGAGGCCCTTAATAAAGTCCCCCTGACCTGGTGGCAGAGAGTTCTGTTCTTGCGTGTCCCCCCATGGAAGTCAGGGCTTGGGTCCAGGGCTGTCCTGGGTGGCCACCCGGCCCCGTGTCCATGGGCTGTGGCCACGTCATCGGCCAACCACATGGGATGGAGCTCCGGCCTGGGCAGGAGCAAATGACCGACCCCTGGAAGGGAGGGCCTTGCTGCAGAAGGTGGCAGCATCCCCTGAGGACTCCCGGCTTTGCTGTGCGCCTCACTCCTGTCTTTCGACCTCTCTGAGCCTCAGATACTTATCTGTGGCCCCTCTCTGCTGTGAGGATTGAGGACCCACAGGACACAGAAGCTCCTGGGTGGGAGGGGATGCTACTGTGTGAGGTCCCCACAGTGTCCCCTCCTTGTCCTTCCCTTTCACTTGAGGAGAGCCCCTCTGTCACTTTCTTGAATTTTTTGTCTCTTGTAAGTTCTCCACATCCACAGTGAAAAATTCAAACTAGGCAGAAGGGTCCCCAGCAGACTGGCCTCCCCTGTCCCCTGACCACCTGTCCCTCCCCACTCTAGGGAGCCCCATCACACCTCTTGGGGCTCCTTTCAGAGTGCTTGTGTACCTGGGGCCCACACCTGGCCTTTGGAATTCCTGGAAAGCCTCTCGGAAAACCCAGCCTGCCTCCCTGTCCCTTCGGGGGGCCCCCCCAGGCTGAGGGAAGGGCAGCCTGTGCGGGTGGGGCGGCCGTGTGGGGGGGCAGCATGTGAGCTGGGGGCAGGGCGTGTGAGTGGGGGCAGTGGGGCCATGTGAGCAGCGGGCCAGGGCAGGAACCCGCACGGGATGATGCTTCCAAGACACGTACCAAGCGGTGTGCAAGGCAGCATTAAACCTGGGCTCTGGAGCTCTGAGCTGGGGGTGGGGCAGGGTCACACTGACCAGTAAGTCCGGACCAGAGGCCCAGAGTCTCCCTTTGTGTGTCCTCAGGCGGGACACTGGGTCCCAGAGTCGCCACATCGGAAGGGTAGAGTTCCCCACCCTGAGTGCTGATTCTCCCCATTCCCTTCCCAGTCCACGTGCCTGGCTCCTGCGGAGGAGCTGTGGGCTCCGGCCCCTCCCACGATGCCCCTCTGGGGCCCAAGCCACACTCAGCACACAGACCTGGCCTGGCTCCAGTCCAGGGTCCAGGGTTCAGGGCTGGGTCTTTGTTTCCTGGGAGGGCACCCCAGAACTGGGCAGTCCTGAGCAGAGCATTACGCCCATCAGGGTCTGGGCTGGGCTGGAGCTTGGAGATTGAGGACTGGTGGGCACTCAGGACTGGGCTTCTGGTGGTACTTTGTGCCCTGAAGCTGCGGGGCCCAGGCTCATCGACCTGCCCAGGTGACCATAGAGGACACCGGGGACATCTGCCCAGAACAGACACCTACCATGTTCCAGGCGCTGTTCCAGGCACACCAGAAACAGCAGTGGCCCGGGCTTGGATGGATTCTCCCCGACCTATCTTGATGCCCTAGAGCCACCCCAGGTCACGGAGCTTACAGGACAATGGGGTTGGGTGAACGGGATAAATACAAAAATATGTAGCATGTTAGTAGGAGAAGCTTGAAGAAGAATAAAGCACAGAGAGAGGATCACAAACACTGGTGTGGCTGGGAAGGCCTCTGTGGGGCCTGGAAGTCCAGAGGGACAGGCCACACAGTCCACTGAGCAGGGCAGGGAGCCCACAGTGGCCCACACGTCAGCCACACCCTTGGGCAAGGGTCCTCCTCCCTGGGGCTGAGGCTCAGGGCGGTGAGGCCGTGCCCCAGACCCGCATACCCTGTCCTGGGCTCCTGGGTTTGAAATATTTGGGCCAGGGTGAGGGGAGATGCAGGCAGGCCCTGTGATGTGAGAGGCCCAGCTGGGTTCTCTATGTCCCGGAACCAGGGGATCCTCTGACCTCCTGAGCTGTCCCCAAGTTCATGCAGCCTCAGGCTGAGAGCCTGAGGGGGCCAGCCTTCCCCCCTCCCCGCCCCCGACAACAGAAGGAGGGGCAAGAGCCCCTCCCAACACACAGCACACTGGGGCAGTGGTCCTCCAGGACCGAGGGCCGATGGGGGCTCCTCCTCTCGGGGTGGGGACAGCAGGGAGGCCACCTGCAGGAGCAGCCCACTGGCCCAAGGCAGGGTCTGGGTGGGACCCTAATCTCCCTCTCCCCTCACCATCCCGTCTTTTACTACAGAAAGGCAAGGAAGAAGAGAGTGCGGGACTCAGATCCCCGCACCCTAGACTAGCGTCTGTCACTGTCTGCACCATCTGCGGGACACTTCCTGTGCAAGCACACGCAGGTGCACGCCGTGAATGTGCACACCTGGGCCACGGTACACACGCTCCCCAGCAAACTGCTTTCTAAACACAGATCTTTCCATAGCCAGGAATAGAGACCCTCACAGCTCTATCCAGGCGCTGAGGTGTTCCCCTGGACAGACGGACTTGTGTTCGTTTTTAAGATGCCATTTCCCAAGCATTTTCCATGCTGGGGACACTGTCTGAACATTTTGCACATTTTGCCACAGGCCAAGTGCTCTCCCACGGGCCTCCGTGCCATCACTCATCGATGCTTCCCCACCATCCGGCGAGGCCGGGCTGTACAGGGAAAAAACCAAGGCACAGAGAAGTGAAGGAACTGACCCAAGGCCATACAGCTGGCTCCTCACTATCCTCCCCTGCGTGCGTGTTCACCCCAAATCAGGCCTCCAGCGGCATCCCTGAGTGGGCATCTCTGGCCCTGGCACCGGGCCCAGCCTCAGGCTGGAGGTGGTCTGGTGCTGTCCTCCCCCTGGGGACTCTGGCTCAGCCAGACCATCTGTCCCTGGGCCTATCTGCCGGCCACTCCAGGGCTGGGATCCATGCGCCTCCCCCTCCCCCCCTCCGCCCAGGTTGGTGAGGTCTTCATCCGCGACCACTCTACCACTCGGGTGTTTATAAAGAGTGCCCTGCCCACGTGACCCAGGACTGGGCAGACAGATCACAGTGTTGGTCAGCAGCCTGGGCCCTGCTCTGTTAAGTGTCACTCCTCCCTGGCTGGACTTGGGGTGCAGTGGGGAGGGCTGCTGGGGTGGGGGCAGGGCAGCTGCCGGAGGGGTGACACGTCAGACCCTCTGCAGGAGGGGAGGGGGGGTCGGGCAAAGAGTTTAATCCTCCTCTGCCTCCAGAGGCTCCATCTTTGTCATGTGGCTTCCAGCCCCTCCTCCCTCTTAGCCTCTCTCTCTGCGCCTCCCATCTCTCCCTGCCCCCAAACCCTCCCTGCGGCAGGGGCCCACCTACCTCCTTGGGGCTTCTCTCCTTCCTCTCCTGAGCCCATACACGGGGAACACAGCTGCAGCAAGAAGGAAGCAAGCTAGACGGGAAGGAGCCCTGGGTCCCTGGCTGGGGCAGGGCAGGGGCGGGGCGGGGCAGGCCCTACCGGGGCCTTGGGGCCTGGCGTCACTCACCAGTGCCAGAGAGGCTCCGCACCGTGCCCAAGTCCCCATGGCTGCAGGGCACAGAGCCGGGACCCCATCTGCCCACTCCACAAAGGCAGTGGGGGCAGGGGCGGCCCCGGCCAGTGGCCCTTCTGTGCCAGGCCCGGCTCTGCTCTGCCACAGAAGCCCTGAGCCCATGAGGTGGCCGGCTGCCTGAACGTCACCACGTGCCCACGGACACACGGCCTGCCTCACTGTGGAGCACTCCTGCCCCCAGCCCAGGTGTGCGCACACAGCAGGCAGGCGACCCCTCAGGGAGCAAGAGGCTGAGTGTCCCCGGAGTGCATCTGGGGAAACCGAGGCACGGCGGGTTCCCTCCCCAGACTTGCAGCAGAGCCACCATCAGCTATAGCGACCTCTCCCTGTTTATGGCCCTGAGGTGCCAGTGGGCTAGGGGCCGGCCCCGGCTGGAGCCACATACAAACGGGTCTGGGCCGTCTCAACCCCTGCTTCGCCTCGCCCGCAGTCTACTCCTTCAGTGTGACAGTTACCAAGGCGTGCGAGCCTTCGACCCCGACAGGTGGGGCCAAAAGCTCGGGAAGAGCGGCGGCCTGGGATGGGGCCGGCCTGGGAGGTGGCGGGAAGGGGCCCGGGGGAAGGGGGTGGCACTCCAGCGGCTGGCACCGCTGCTCCTGTTCCGCTGGGTGGCGCCATGAGCCCGCGCGCCTCCTCTCCCCCTGGAGCCCCGAACCCAGGCGGCAGCCACTAGTACTTAGGCTGCGGGGCTGTGGGTGCCGGCGACACCAGGCACTCTACCCAGACAGGACTATCCTTGAGGAATGAAGGGGGCCCAGGGGTACCTCTCCAAACTCCTCCACCCTGCGCGGCTCCTGGGGCTCAGATACTTCAAGCCAGAGCAGAGGGAGGGGGTTCCAGATAGGACGCCCAAGAGTCCCTGACCTGACTGGGACCCCTCATCATCTGCCGATGACCACCCCAGGGTGCCCCGCGTCTGCTGTGGGGGACTGATGCAGCCGGACGGTGGGCAGCTAATTGGTTCCTGTGGCCTTCCCGGGTCTGGGGCACCTGGCTGGGCACCTGTCGTGCCAGCCCTGGGTTTGAGCCATCAGAGAGGCAGATGAGGCCCTACCCGGCCTCCTGGCCTCAGGGTCCAGCAAGGAGATGGCACTCCCTGCTCACATGATTGAACCCATGTAAAAGCATGGTGAGACCGGGGCCCTGGGAATCTCAACGGTCCAGGGATCCGGGAGGGGAAAGATGGGAGGGGGGAGTCCCTGGCAGAGAGAACAGCACCTGCAGTGTGTGTCTGGTGGGGGGCTCAACGTGGGTGGCAGAAGCTCAAAAGGAAGCTGGGCAGATGGAACCCAGGCTATGAGGATGGAGGCAGGGCTCTTGTGAGCCCCCCAACCCCCATTTTATCATTTACCAACCTTCACTGACATCTCCAGAACAGGCCTCTAGACGCAGCCCCTCCCGCGTGGGGAAGAGACAAGGTGAGTTCACAGAGCAGCTGCCCAGGGAGCTCAAGGGGCACTGTCGTCCCAAGAAACTGCCCCACTTCAGGGACAGGGCAAGCAT